TGTGTGACATAGTCACAAAACAACTATGATCAACCGTGACTCCCAAATTGTGAGTTACAATTGGGAGTCACAATCACAATTTTTAGGTCACGGGTCTAATTATTTGTCACAACATCAACCAAACCGTCGTGACCACCACAACCACCGCCACAACCATCACACCAATGCCACACACACACCCACACATTGCCACGCCATACACACACCCCTATAGCAACACCGCCACACCACACACACCACCGCCAGAGTGAAGCCACCACAACAAAGCCACCGCCATCGCCGGAGCCACCACAACGCACCATCTCACCCACATCACACACCACAGCCCACACGAACAAAACTACCATCACTCCCATCGCCACTAACAAAATCCAGCAAACTCGCCATCGAGAATCCACCACCAACAAAACAACCGCCAGCTCCAAATCCAACAAATCGCCGCCATAGCCACCCAAGCATCACTAACAAATCAGATTCTCAAAATCGCCATCACCAGAACCAAAGGCTGTTGGATGTGTGTAATCATGTCGGCGCCGTCATGCGTAGCGCTCACCTTCCGGTGGTTTGTGTGTGGATTGCCTTCGTCGGTGGTGGTTGGTTGCAGCTGACCATCGCGACAAGCTTCGCATCCAAAACCATGGCGGATACATGACCACAAAAATCACTACTACTGTCATCCACCACCAATGCCACCACCAGCACGATTCCTACAACCAACACCACCATACCGGATCGCCAGTTACGCACCACGTGATGTTGGAACTGGCTTCGATTCTGGGAAATTCTTTCCCGAATTCGTCCTCGCCTTCGCCGTATGTCGCCAACCACAAGAGACGCGGCATTGACGAGAATAGTAGTCGAAGGAGGGTTGGTGGGCAGAATGGAGGTGAGAGAGAGAGGGGGGGATGAAGACGGTTGGGAGTGATTAGGGTTTTTCTGTAATTATTTTATTTAAATAGTTAGTACAAAAATCTGATTTTTGAAATATTAAAGTTCCAATCTGATTTAAGAATTTTGAATAGTTAATCTATAGTTTTTTGTAATTTCCACTTGTTAAATTTGGATAATTTTTTAGAATTTGACATTGCTTGAAAACCTCCGATTTTTAAACACATATATAAGGAATTCTTTCTAAAAATAATGTATAAATAAATTTAAAATTTATAAAGCATTTTTTTTTAAAATTTTTGGAATCCATTCATTTCATCATCAATAAATTTAAAGTTTATGAAACATTTTTTTTAAAAATATTTTTGAATTCATTCATATCATTATCATGTCTTTAAATTTTACTTTATCATCAAATGACATTATATTTGTACATAGTGTTCATGTGAATCGATTTATGTGAAGAAAAGAAACGTTTATAAATTATAAGTCATTATCTTATCTTTATTATTGTGTCTATTTACATTTTTTTCCCCTATCTTAGATATTAAATTTTTAATTTATCGGGTTAGGTTAGGTTTTAATTCATAACTAGAGACCCAACCCAACTCAACCCAATCCACCCTCGGATTCAATTTTTCAATCCAACTCAACCCAATTGAATTTAAAAAACCAACCCAAAGGTTGGTTGAGTTGATTAGTTTGGGTTGGGTTATGCCCAGCCCTAACAACGGGGCAGGCTCAAGGAGGGGCATGACTGGGACAGGGCAACTTTTTGCCCCATTAAAATTTTTTTTTTTACATTTTCAAAATTGCAAGTTATGTTATTATTAGGAAATAAAATGCAAATTCAAAATGGATTTTTAATGAATGAATTGTCTAGAAATAAAATTATTTTTAATCTTTTTTTCCTTCACAGGGCGGAGTGAGGACGCCCCGCCCCACGTGCCAGCGACAGGGTGCCCCATCCCACCAACCTATTCGGGACGAATTTTTTTGTCATCCCTATATGTAATTAAAATTTATTATTGATTTTGACTTAAATTTTAATTCAATTTTTTAGATCAAATGGGGGCTAGGAAAGGGTTGAGGACCAAAACTAGTCCATGTTTGCCACCAATTTTTTTACATTCTATCACATTATTTTTTTTATATTACTCATTTTCAACCACACATTCTTCTTTAAAATAATATTACATGTAAATTAAAAAAATTTCATTCTTTTTCAATCACACATCTTCCATCAATCTACTATTTCATAGTACATTTTTCAAAATTAAAGGGGCACAAACACATCCCTAATTAACACTCTACCTTTTTTTATAAATAGTTAACAAACATTTCAGTCCCGTTAAAAGGTCCTAATCTTTGCTTATTATTTTATTTGTCTCTAATATTTTGTCATCTCAATCTTTCAATAGTTAACTTACATTTTTCAGATGATGATTTTCGTCCAAATATTATTAACAAAAATTTGAATGAAATCATCATCAACCACGAGAGGTGCTAATTAACGAAAAATTAAAGACTGATATGTGATGACGTTCAAGGATCTTTAATCCAATATACCCATATACCCTCACCATCAAACATAAGAATTCTAACGGCACAATCCCACCTCCCATCAAAAGAAGTTAATTTTGCGCTAATTAATCGTCGTAAAAAACAATATGCGCTCATTAATGAAAATTCAACGTTAAAATGTGATAGGATTCAACGACCTCGAGAGAATTCTATACTACAGTTCGATGGAGGAATTTTAGTGCACCCTTAGGGTAATGTGCCAGATGTCGTAGCTAATCGAGTAGATCTATAAGCACGTGTAAGAGTTCGTCACGAAGGATGTGATCTTATTTTATAGGGTAATGTACCTTTAATCAGATACACCCATATAAAATATAATATTCAAAGAAGATCCAGAAATTCACATTTTCGTGGTAAGAAGTTGTATTAGAATTCGATTTTGTTTTGCTTTTTGGTTGAGTTTCAATGTCTGAGGTTGCAATTCCTGTATATTTATTAGGATTGTGATGAATTATTAAAGCTGCATAATAGAGCATGATGTATAATTTATTATAAAGAAATTAGTTTAATTCTCTAGTATATTTTTACACTGTGAAGTGCCATGAATTTCAGTCAAAACTTAAAAACATGAAGCCATGCAAATGACCTAGTTTAGAAATTCATGTGTGAAAAAACTTTACATAGCAAGATACAATAACTGTTCATTTGATTCGTCTAATTAAATTTCTTATTAATGCAGGATGAATTACGTAATAGACTTCCAAGGATAGATTTGAAGGAAAGATTACCTAGATTTTTGTCTTGGATAATGTTAACATAGTATCTGATTCTCTGTATTACGTATGGTTTTATCATTCACCAAGGATGAATTTTGGTTATCTTTCAGAGATGATAAAGTAGCTCGGTTCTTCTTTTTCAAGTTCACACCCACGACAAGATTGAATCCTATTGGATTTTATGCGCAATAATAAAGTGAAGAAAGAGAGAAATCAATACAAGTATTTATATGCTTCGACATTGTGCCTGCGTCCACGAGAGCGAAATGAAAATAATGTTATTCCATATGAATAATAAAGTTACAACATTATTATTTATTCTAACCCTATCCCAAGTCCACACATACAAGACTTTAAGGTCCGTTCGGTGCACTACGCTCCCTTCACCCCACTCAGCTCCGACATCAGCCTATTTTATCCATTAAACTTGTATTTCATTCTATATGAGCCACATACACAACAAATCTTATTGTGAGAGTCGGTCACCACCTCTATAGAAAAAATTCGGGCACCGTAGTGGAATTGAAATTCAAATTCAAATCCAGAGAAAATGGTACATCTATTGATCTTATTTTCTTGGATATAGTGGACAATCTTAAATTACTCAAGAGATATTCATGGAAAATAATTTGTTTTATAAAAACATTACCACATTTTTTTAGAGAGTGGAACAGTAGACCCAGGCTCAACACAAGTATTCTTTGTGCTCTTTCCTCCATTCTTTGTGAATGTTTCTATTGTCTTCTTCATGGTTCCAAGTGTTGTATTTCTTCGTGTTTGAAAAATGACTTAGGCAGTGAAGTTGAGGATTGATTGTTGGGTAAAATGTGGGCAAAACTAAGTACTAATTCTTTTGGATCCATATTTGACGTTGAACAGTTCTTGTGTACATATCGTAAAAAAATTAACAATTATAAGGAGGCATAACTCTTCAACAAATTAGTGCTATTATTTCAATTATAGACACCTCAATTTTAAAATCTTTGGCAACTTAATGAAATAATTCTTCGCATATTAAGGTTCATTTGTGATGCTAGCTTCTATTACACAAGTAAATTAATGAATCATCATGGTAGTAAAATGCATCAAGGAAACATATCCTATTTTCACACACTAATTAGCCTTTATATGCGTCTGTTTAACTATAAGTTACCATTCATTGCAATGCAGTTCAGTAATGCTCTACAAATCTGGCACAATCCATTGCTGGTTTGGATTGTATTATATAGCGTAAGAAATTTCACAATGGTTGGTTACTTTATAATCTTGACTGCCCACCTCAATCCATAGGTCATAACGTCGTCTATAGGTGCCCTTTTGAGTCTTTTCTTTCGGTGACTTTCAACTTAACCATAGGTTGGATCAATTTTTTCACTTTCCGAATCTTTTATTCTTTTCTGTTCATATGAACCAGTAAATTAGGGAAGGTACGATGATTTTTCCATCGTCAATATTTTCAAAGATGGTCATAAATCACGTAAAATACATTATTATTGATTGTGTTAAAGCAGAATATATGTGTCACGTTCTCAATTAAACCTCAAACCAAGGGGAAGACAGGAACATCTCTAGGATATTAATGGATTACGATGTCACAAAGATTAACATAAAATATTGGACCAGACATGACTGACATATTCACACCATTGGCTAAAATTTGCAAAAGCTGAGGAAAAGCAAAAGCTGATTCCATTATGATGCAAAGATAGACCCACAGACAAGACACCCACGTTAAACTAACTAACTCAATGTCTTCATACTTGTCTTGAAATTTGAGGTAAAGAAAGAGGTTTGCGCGCTGTAGATCAACAGTGAATGTGAAATTTCTTTAAATTCTATTACATGAATCGGAAATAGTAACATAAATAAGTAAGCTTGTAATGAAACTACTACTATTTGTTTGTTTGATGTGGTGATATAATCAAAGTATTCATTCTCTCCTGATAGTGTGCTAAATTAGATAGAGTTGAGGTGATCATAATTATAGGAACTAAAAATGGTTATTTAATGAACACTTGGATTTATGAGAAATCTTGATGATCAGGAGGTGGCTACGCAGTTATGCTCCCAAATCAACATGGACCTTCCTGGCTTCTTGCATGACCATGATAATGGAAGAAAATATTCGTCATTTGTGTTACCTTTGACGAGCACCATATTTTGCTGATGATATGTTTTTGCACCATTGGCTTGGTATGAATTGTTCTTGAAGAGTGAGGATTGTGGGTTGGTCTTGCTCCGCCAGAAGTATTGGTAAGAGTTGAAGGAGGTGGCTAGCGGTGGTGGAGGTGGGATCAGACGAGGCACCCGGGCAGGCCGCGGTGGGAGTGATTGTGGAATTGGAAGCTCCTCAACTTCCTTCAAGTTGACAATTTTGTTAGACCATTTTGGGTTCTTGTTAGCTAGCCTCATAAGTTTCTTCATCGTCCCACCAATTGGCAATGATCTTGAGTTTTGATAGATAACAAATTCCAGCCCCTTTGCTACACTAATTTGCTTAACTCTCTCCTCGTCCGCCTCCTCGTAGCCTCCATCATTTATTTTCTCCTCAACATCTTGATCAATCTCTTCCATATCATCGAAAACTTCATCGAATTCTTGAACGTTATTTTCCTCCACCATTCCACTGTGCTGCTCTGGGGAAATGGGAGTTTTGATCAAAGTCAAAACAAGGCGGCCGTTGTGGCGTTGAACATGGAAATTATTTCTTGGAGGGACAGAAACAGCTTCAAGAATAAGCCTACCATTTCTTCGGTGAGATTGTATTTGGATTGAATTTCCATCAGCAATTGAAGGAATTGGGGGTGGGAATGGCCGAGGTGGAGAATTTTTGTACTTGACAACATGAAAATCTTCGAACGAGTTCGATTCTTTCACTTGTTGTTGCTGCTGCTGTTTTTGTTCATATTCTTGATCTTCTTTTTCTTCATCTGCATCACTGATCTCTGATGCCGGGTAAGAAGAAAAACAACCAGAACCAGTTTCTGATCCAAGACTTTCAGTGCAAATCTCCAGACTTTTTTCACTCAAAGAACTGGCTGATCTCTTCACAAGAGGGTGAATATAAGGTTCTGGAATCTTGGCAGAATCTTCACTCTTTTTTGATAAAATTGAACCCCAAACATCTAATGCAGAGGGTTTTCCAACACGAAGATCATCCTTCTCTATCCTGCATTCTTCTTCACCGTCTGATTGATTACCAAGCTCCTGATCAGATGGCGATGAAATCTTTTCAATAGAGAAGAAAAACCCATTTTTTGCAAGCCATTTTTTAGAAGACATATCAGCAGATAGTGTTATTCTCAAAGGTGCAGCTTTGCTCTTTTCACAGTCTGAACAAAGGATAGTTACTATGCCTTGCTTCTCCATTATTGGGGCGGCCTCCTCCCGATGATACGCAGCGTTTAAAGGGGAAGAAGAATAAACTAGGCTCTTGCTCGCTGCAACACTGCACGAAGTAAAACGAATAATCAGAACAGAAACAAAACAAAAGTTACAAAGCAACAATAATATTTTCAAAAAAATCCATAATTAGGAGCCATGCATGCTAATATATATGCATGTATACCTGAAGCAAACAACAGCATCCAAAAGAGAAGTGACTATTGGATGACAGTTGCAAGCTAAGGGAGAAGAGAGGATGATGGATGTGTGTTAATGTTTCTTTGGCTTAGTGCAATGCCAAGGGACGGGAGTGTCCAGTATTTGTAGGAGCTCGAAAAGCCTGTGGAACCTTGTCCGTGGGAGATGGGACCCCCACCCTACGCTGGATTTTAGGTCTTCACATTTGTACAGAAGATACCATGCTAAAATTT